ACTTCTACTAAATTTCCTGCCAGCTGCAGGCGGAGGCAAACTGAGCTTCTAAACCTTGCCACCTTCCCCAAGCACAGCTCTTCCTCGTAATGGCAAGAAAACATCTCGTCACCCGAACACATAGACTTTTCCTCAGCACAGGAGAGCTCACCAAGCAGTGCACAGTATCATAGCCTGTGTCCAGCACTTCGTCTTTATCTTTCAAACAAGGCAATGGTCCATTCCCAAATGATTCTCCCTGATAGGAAAAGGAAATTTCCATGTATCCCACAGAAGTTGTCTCTGCCCTGCCCTCCTGCCCTCCCTTACCTCCCTGACTCCTTCACCAGTATGTCCTCATTCCTGAAGCCATCTTTATTTCACTGCTTTTCTGATTCCATCTTATTTTTACTTTAGTTGAAACGTATACTCACACATCCTCTAATTACTTTCAATTATCCCCGGAATTGTGGTATTTCACTCAGCAGTATGTTTTCCTGTACCATGCAAAATAAAGTTGTACTGAGTAGTACTGAGCCTCAGTTTGCGAACAAATCGATCTCTAGATTATTGTAAGGTATAAAGCATTAAGACAGAAATAACCAAGAGGATGACTAAAAAAAAAACGGGGAAATGAACAGGTAAGGGAGGCAGTTCACCCTGACACCTCACCGTGGACTATGGATTTCACTATTTGCAACGAAAAAACACTTTGTTCTGGAGCTCCGTTTGGGATACACAAGCTCTGACAGGAATTACTTAGTCTGAAACCAGTGAAGATAAATTAACAGAGTTTCCATTGAATTTGCCAGGACAATTATTTTCAGCCTGCTTAAAAAAATTCACGGAGTGTAAGTGTACTTCAAACAAACACCGCAAGGGCCGATTTGAAAAAAAAAAATAGTGCAAGGATGAAGGCTTAATACACAGAGGTCGATCCAGTAATGAATTTGGCCCTGCAGGTCTTAGCAGCCCACTACTAGTTGCAGGTGGGTCTTATAAACATTTTAATACAAGGGAAAACATGGATGGTTTATGACTATTTCTGTGCCATTTTCCTTCCTCTTCCAAAAAATCTTTTCCGAGTTGTATAAAGAACAAGTGCACGTTTGTTGAGTTGGGGCGAGAGGGAGAGATGCAACCAGATGCTGCATGTAGCTGCTGCCAACCCCGACTTCAGCACGGGGGGCTTGACAGTAAAGATGCTGAGGCACATGCAGTGAAACTGCAGGAAAACCTACTGAAGCAAACCCACTCATAGAAAGTGTTGGGCAGTGTCAGGAGGATATGTGGTGAGATCTCCCTCCTGTTCTGCCCCGACCCGTTTTGTTAGAGGCACAACAGTAGGTATCACACAGCAGTGATGCCTGCACGTCTGTAATTTAAAAATAAACATCTGAAAACTGGATAGAACATTTTTATTGGCAACGGCAATCTTTTGCTTCTGTACTGCCATAATTTATAGATAATCTTTAAAAAACAAAAATATTTGTGTGCTGTTTATAAACAAAACATTTTATTGTTTTTAGGTAAGTTTTCAAGGCACTCTCATGCTGCAGTTTTGAACTCCATCTGGTAAGAAAAAGAATCCTTCAGAAACTCCATCCTTCTGAAACAAAACACACCCACAAAGTTGAGCGAAACAACCAAAAATTCAAACCAGATCCCGACCATAAATTATGCTTGTTCCTGGAATCACACTGAGAATAAGTACAACATGTTTGCTTTCTTGGAGACTTCCCATATTGGTTGCTATTTGTAAACCCCAAGCAGGATTCATCTCACCTACTATTAGCTATGTAGAAGTTGGATAATCTGAGTCAGCTCAGCTCCTGTGTGGTCACCAAAAAGAGATGGACACCTCAGAAGAACTGCTCATTGCACTTGTACAAATATCCATGTAAGAACAAACTGAAGCATCCTCTACTAGAAACTACATTTCTGTATTGTCAATAGGGAGACTTAGATTAAAATGATCAGATTTTTTTTTAATGAGAATTCAAGACAGTATATTAAAATCCATCTTAAGTTATCAATTACATTTTTACTACTGCATTTCATAGGAAACTCAGTAACCACTGATAAAACATACTTTTCCATACATGGTTCTCAACAGAATTTTCCCACTGGACAGCAGGTATTTTGGTACAAATAATTATATCCCAGTAGCACCAACTGACGGAGAAGGCTGGATGCTGGCATACTTCACAAGTGAATTAGGCTATAGAGATTGTTTTCATTAAAAAGACAAACTAACAAACAAAACCCCACACTTTAAAAAATGAGAACAGCACTCAAAATACAGTTCTATGTCCGATTAACTTGAAAAAAATCTCAGCCAAAAGCATTTTGAAAACAGAAAAAGAGTTCAACCCACTTTATTTGATTCAGAAAAATTCAGCATTACGCCTGTAGGATTGTCACTTTTACTGTTTTTCTTGTCCATAGGGCACAAATAGCTCCATTCAATTTGGGAACTCAAATCATAGTGCTGGTGTTTCTGACTCATTTAGGAATTTACTTTTAGCACCCACAGTATGAGAGCAGTGCTATGCTCCATCTCCAGTGCACACTGAGCAGCTAAACCTGACCTGTCCTGCTTGATGCTTGTTTAGCAGAGTCTCACTATGCACCCATTTTGCTTCCACATTTTCTATTCAACGAGGCAGGCCATCCTCAGTGGGGATTCTGTTACACCGGCAGGTTTCAGTATCACAACATTTTGGCACTAAAATGGCACTAATTGGTCTCATGGAGGTTTCAAAGTATAGCATCTCCTTTGCTGTTGACAGGAAGATCACAGGAGCAGGGAGACGCAAGACAAGCCTCTCCGAGCAGCAGGAAAGGGCTGGTTTATAATTCTTCACTCGTCCTTGCCGTGAGCCTTGCAGGAGGTATGAAAGGATAAGATTCCTGCTCCAGCAAGAAGGCAACAGAGGCAGAACGCAGTGAATCCTCTGATGACAGCTGTCCTTTGGAGGAAGCTGCTTGCTTGGCACTAGACCCAAATGCCGCGGGAAGGTGCAGGAAATGTAAGTCTACCTGCACAAGGATGTGGGACTCACCTTGCTCTGGCACCACCTCTCCAGTTCAGTTTCTAAAACCAGAGTTTCAAAGATTTTCTTTGGGAAAGCAGAGCAAGATCTGCAAACTAGCAGTTCATCTGGGGCACTGGAACATCCCAGCTTTTTTACTATGACAGTGCTAAGGTAAGTTCAAGCCTGCTCACATTGGCATGGGGGAAAAATGGTAGAGATAGGTAAATAAAAACTGTGTATTACAGTGTTCAAATACCTATTAGTGTGAGGATATAAAGGGTTCGCATCTTTAGTCAGTAGTACTCCACTATCTCCATCAGCTGAAGATGTGGCCTGAATATTTTATGCTGACACTGAACTCTTCCCTGGAAATGGACAAAATGCACCACAACTAAGGGTGACCATGGAAGAAGTGAGAAAGATTAGTAGCACTGCCTTCATGCTCTTGAATTTATTTCCCAAGACAAAGCAACAAGCAGAGATTAAATCTGGCCATCCTCACTGGTGAAAACTCCCCATAATTGAAATGAATGAGCAAATAGCAAAATCACAACTGAAAATCATCAATAACAACAACAAAAATAAAAGTATTGTGAAATGAATAGCACCAAGGATGCTCAGGCACTTACACCTTTTCTATAAGTGAAAATAGCAGTACTTGGACTCAAACAAAATTATTATTCCAGTGTTCACTCAAAACAGTACTGTGGTATCCTGACCCCCAGAGCGATGTTTTTACAGAAAAGTTAACGAGAAAAACAGATCAGAATTCACTGTTTAGTAACAGACTGGTTATGATCACAACACCATTCCCCTGAAGTCAATTTGTTCCCTCTGAAGTCAACAAGAATTTTGCTGTTGTCTTCAACGGAGGAAAACCTGGATCTTAACAGGAGAGTGCACATTGCTATTGAGCTTGGATTTTCATGTAAACAAAACGTACTCCCTGCAGAGAAATTACTGCACATTTTACCAACAGAGGTACAGTTAGAGAGTACCAGGAGTCTTCATAGTGCGTAAACCTCCACGTGATCCGAGTTCTCCGACACAAAGGGCGAGCTGAGCACCTTCAGAGCAGAGGATTTATTTCTCACAGGATTGCTGGATCGCTTCTGCCAGCAGCTCCTCAGCACGTGCCAGACCCGCTCCTCGGCTCAGCATCATCCCCTTGAACTCCCAGGCTCCAGAAAGCTGCATTTGCTTTCCTCGGGGCACAAGCTGGCCCTTAGTCAGCAGCAGGAAATCCAATACATGCTTCCAGACACAGCCTGAGCCTAAAGATAACACAGCAGGAGGGCTGGCCAGCACATACACACTTATTGCTATGTGAATTAGAGGTCAGGGGTGAATTTTAACAGTCTGCAGATATTAAAGGTTAATGTACAATAATAAAGGCAGAAAAAATCCTAAAAAAAACCCAAACAACTGTTCACAGTAGCAGTTCTACCACATTGCTATAGTACCCTTGCATAGATTTCCAGTTCAGTGAGACAGGTGAATACCTGTCAAAATGATCACACCTTTGTTTCTTTAGTTCTGGCCTTTGAACAGCCTTTAGGTCAAAATGGCATTTTTGAGATTAGCACTCTGGCAATTACTTCTAAAAATGGTGGCAAGCTTTTCAAATAGAAGGTCTTCTGTTCTGTCCTGAAGCAGCACTTTATAGCAAATTTGGTTCTTCAGAAAAAGTAATTATATTAAAAATATATAAACCATAATGAGATTATTCTACTTTATCCTTGTCACAGGGAATTAAAAAATGTTGTATGCACAAGGTACACTTAACAATTATTGGACAAAATTCTGCACTGAATTTAATGGCAGCTTTGCTTAAGTAATGATTGAAAACCTGATTTTAACATCACAGTAATCACTAAGATTATATTTTTGCTTTTAGTTACTTTGATTTCATCTAACTGTGAAACATTCAACCAATAATAAATAAGCAAAATAAAGAGTAAATAATATGTCAGTAATATATAATCTCCTTTCCCTTCTAGGCCTATTCACATGACCAAAACCAGCCATGAACTACACCCAGTATTGACTGCGCTTCAAAGTTGGGTTTGTTTTTCGACAGTACTGGATCATTTCAGGATCAAGGTTTAACCAGCTGTTTTGCAAGGACTGTTTTACAGGTGGAGAAACAACTGCAGGAAGCATCTGTTGTTCGTCTCTTCTGGGTGTGACTGTTGTGGCTATGCTTCTCTCAGCCCCCTTGGGAAGAAGGGTCACTGTAACAGTGGGTACCGTCACACTCTGTTCGGGACCGCGGCCTGGACTCCTGAGCATGGCATCCATTTCATTTCTGACAAGTGGTTTTGCCTTCTCTTTTTTCTGACACAATAACAAAACACACACAGAAATAACAGCAATAATGAGCAGCACAGACACCAGGACCAGGGGGATAATGATGTACCAAGGGTTGCTGCTTTCACCAGGTTGCTTGCTGGGACTCCTACCACTGGCTTGGATTGTGCTCTCAGCCTCGGTGAATCCATTTTTTGCCACTGACAGATTAGGCAATGGATCTTCCTTGCGTAGATCTCCCCAGCGATCACGACCTTGCCATCTGGTTGGTACACCATGTGCTGCTACAGAAGGTTCGGCATTGTGGGAGGAAACTGGTGCCTCATCCTTTGAGGTAGTTGGAATCTTCAAAGTGATCGTGCTGGTTAGGAAAGGCACTTCACTTGTAAAACGCTGCACAAGCAGAGGATCAGGCGGCACTATGGAGTACTGGAAACAGCCGACAGCAGGCTGCACAGCATCTGCCCTGAGTATAAAAGTGAAGGAGTCATTTAAAAGATCAAGGCCTGTCATATTTGTATCTACGTCTAGGAGCACAACACCTCTATCGATGTCAGTCTGGGTGAACACCACAGTATCTTCCAACACTGCATCATTCATGAGCCTCCTCTTTATGATTCTTCCATGAAACGGAGGCACTATCACTTCAAACCTAGGATTACTGCTTGTCAAATTAGCTAGCTCAGAAGCATTCAGGTCACTGCTTCTGAATCTGTAAACTGCTTGATTTGAGATCTGCACGTCGGGAGCAACTTGTACTAAAGGCTTCATCGTGATGTTCAGCACTTGTCCTGCTAGACTACTTTCTTCAGTGAACAGCACAAACTCCAGTACTTCTTCAAATGCAGTGAGATTTGTCAAGTGGTAAGACAACCTTCCTGAGTACAAATCCGCCTGCTCAAATCTAGTAACTTCCTCATTTTCAATCATCAGGTGCCCAAATCTGAGTGGCTGAGTTACTTCATACATGATATTAGTGCTTCTTCCATTTGTGACAGCTGCTAGATGAACATTAGTAATAACGACAGATGTCTGGCCTTGTAGCAGTGCAACACTGGTGTGATTTACCAGGACAAGGGCAATTGGTATGACTTCAAGACTGAAAAGTTTGTATAAAGGACGATGTTTGCCATCAGTTACACTGAAATAAAACACGCCAGAGGATGAACTGCCATCCTGTACAAACCAAACTCTGCCACTGTCAATATCAGCTTGTGTGAAATCCTGTATGGAGACACTAAGATTGCTCTTCATTGCTAAATAACCATTATTAGGTTTACTAATAACTGTGTATTTTAGCTCAGCTGGGGTGTTATCTAGGTCTTCAACTTTCAGATTCTCTGGCCCCAGTACTGAAACATCTCCCTGCAGCACTTCCAAGTGAAGCATTTTAGTCCTCAGTTCTGGAGCTTGGTCATTCACTGGAACAACAGTGATATTAAACGTCTCTTCTAAAACTTCACCATGAGGCTTTGTAGCAGATTTGCTCTTTAGGTTTAACCACACAGCAAAAACGAAATTGTCAGTGAGTGATTCAGAATTATCATGTACATACACAATTCCAAATTTGTTCAATATGTACTGGGAGAAGTTAGGTTTCTCTTTGGTGATGTTTCTTTCTCCAACAACAATCGTGCCATGTTGGGGTAAAGATACAACCTGATACCATATTTCATACATGGAACGCTGTACTTCAGGCAGCTTAATCAGTAGATTTGAAGCATCTAATTTTGTTCTGTTGATTAAGACTCTACCTCCTTCCAGTACTACGGCACCTATCAGAAAGGAAATCAGAATTTTAAAACACAAATGTTTTATAGTTGCAATATTTCAGAAATTAGATAGGCATTTCAAATACGGATGATGCTCACTGTGAAATTAAACGTTTCTCTTTCACAGTATCTTTGATTTCCATGTGTCATGGTAAGAAACGTATTACTACTATTTTTAAACACAAATTTAAATACAAGAGGCTAGATTTTCTATTGATGCACGGAACAGAATTAGAGAAATATCAGTATCTCACAGCTCCAGATGGTGCTTTAATTATCCCTGCTATTATGGCAAAATGGAGGATACCTACTACAACAATAGCAAGGATCAGAAGTATGCAGTTAATGTTTTTAAAGATGTAGTGGTGCAGTCTTTCAAGGCACTACCTACACTGTACTCTGTGCTAAATGTATTCTGGTCATTTGTTACTGCAAAACATTATCCTTTTTTTTGTTTTGTTTTGTTTATGTTTTTGCTTAAATACTTGTTCACTGGAAACCAGAGAGAACCAAAACAATTAGGAGGCTCGAAGAGCCCAGCATCTTCACCTGTGTTTGCTAGAAGACGACTGTTCCGATCGTGCCTGGTAATTCCATACGAGATGGCAATATGGAACACCTGGAGGTCCAGGGCTGATGGTGGAGAGGAGACAGTAAAAGTAAAGAAGTCTTCTGCACTCCAGTCAGTTGCCTCCATTTGTAAGTGCTCATACATGATCACACCTTCATCTACCTGTTGAGGATAAAGAAAGCCACAGGTACAAGAGGAAAGGGATTTTAAATAAAGAGATGGAAAGAAAAAAAAATCTTAAGAAAACTGTTCAGTGGACTGTGGACCTTAGTTCATGCATAACGACTGTATATATAACTTACATAAAGAGATTATTTTATATTTCTCTTTCTCTGAAGATTAAAACTGTGCTGGCCAACAAACACACTTGAAGATATGGAAAATGTTACTGGGAAGAATGCTTGGTAAATGCCTTATGCTAAAAACACAAACGTAAACTGAAAAACTTGTATCGAATTAGCTATGGTGACTGTGAATGGGAAGGAGATCAGCTAGACTGTATGTTTAGAGAAGACTGCCATATGATTAGGGGATTTTCCTTCCTAAGAATACCACCGGGGCTGGACTAACTGTTCTGGAAAATGTACGAAGAACGAAGACTTGAAACACGACTTTGATGGATCATGTGCTTCATGGTAGATAGCAAAAGATACTAGGTGAGAGACACCTGAAACCTGAAGGAGATGCAGTGACCATGAAAATATCTCCTCCTTTATAACCAAACAGCCAATGGGACAGTTTGAAACATTCTCTATCTTGGGAGAAAGGGAGAAGGGCGCTAGTCTGCCCTGTTCCTGCTTTGGCTGTCCCTCCAAGCCCTTGCAAGAAAACCCTGTCAGTCTCACATAGAAGATCTAAGATTCAAAAGAGAATTCAGCAGTAAACTTTCAGAGAAGTAAGTATACGTACAAGATGCAATTCTCACTGCAGACAGCTACCTAATAAATCCTTGGCAGCTTCCCAGGCAAATACTGGCCTGTGTCAGTTTGTAATTGCCAAAGAGATCAGCACCTGAGACGGTGCCGCCTCACAGGCACAGCTCACAAGCGCGCGGCGGGAAACCTTCCAGACCCATTTCCATGGCATGAGCTTGGAAGGTGTGAAAAACAAAACCCGGCCTGCAAAGCACGGCAGCACTGCGGAGCACGAGCCGTGGCGATGGACAGAGCTCATTCGGAACCGGTGCAGGAGCCCCACTAACGTCACGCTGCTATCACGTAGCAAGCAGGGCTTACAGGGTCAATTTTCTCAAAAACATCCCATCTTATTGACTATGAAATTGAGGCTGATGCGATAAAATCTCACATGTGTTTCATCTAACATTCAGAAAAGCATAGATTTTAGGAAAAGAATGGTGGTGTTATACGGTGCATCTCTCTCATAATGTAAAACACAGAACTCAGCTCAGTAATCATTGCACCACAGCCCAAAACATAATGGAATTAGAATACAGAAATACCCTGTCTTCACCTTGGTTTGCACATCTTAGGTGGAGATTTCACCACAGTCCCTGGTGAAGATGTTTCAAAGTCAAATGTTAACTGTAATTGTTAAAAATGTGAACCTTGTTTCTAGATTTTAGCAGTCAATTTTCAATTTCTCGCCAACAGATTTTCTAATTTTTCCATTACTACATCAAATGCCTTTCTTAATCTCTAAATGCAGATTAGGACCAAATTATCTCTTTTCCTCCAATAAAGTCAGAAGATTGAGTTCCTTCTATTTACACCTATTAAAAAGTTTACTGAGAGGAGAGTTATATTCAGACTTTGCAAACAGATGTAACTCATTTTTTTCAGTTGCGCTTTCTCAAAAGACATCTTCCATCAAGCTATATAAGCTGTCACTTCTTAGTCTTTCAAGTACAGAACTCTGTATCACAGCTGAGATTCTTTAAACACCTAATATCACAGCCCATAAAGTCAATAAAATCCACTTGGGACAACGAGGACTGCAAATAGCCTGAATGAATCCGATGCTTGGAGTTTTCACATGGCAGAAGGCTACTCCTTCTGCCAGATACTAAAGTTTCCAACCTCTGACTGCTGGTTAATGGCAACAGAACAACTCTTCTTGAAAAATACTGTTGGAAGCAGAACCATGGAAATTGCCAAAGCTCTGTGAACATCCAAGGAGAGGGGAACAAAGGCTCCCCTTGCATTCATTACTGGATGCCACATATTTAATGACACGGCAAATCTGGGCAATTACACTGATGGGTCACGTATGCCTGGTTACCAAACAGATATAAATGGACAAGACAAAGAACAAGCAACTTGACAGCCTTTGAAGTAACAATCCACCCCAGAACTACTATAAGGAAAATGCTTACCATAGACTGTGTAAAACTGAGGATTTCCTGAGTGGTATTATCAGAATTTGCTCTGATGAGCCTTCCAAGTTTGGGGGAAGTAACAATCATAAAAGTTATAGTTCTGTTTCCTGTATTGGTCACATCATTGGTTATAGCTTTCAAATCATGTTGTGAAATAGGTTTCCTGGATCCTAAAGATGTGAATTAAAAGTAATTCAGATTTGCAACAGCAACTTTTCACAACAAATATGCACAACTCATCTAATTATTGTACTTAGAATTTTAATTTTTAAAAATATATAATATTTTATAATCAGTCTTCTTCTTTTCCTAACTACCTTCGAATGTCTAGAACCAAATTCAGATTCCAGCTGAAGACACCTTTGCTAACGTCTTTGGTAGCCCCGTTTGCTCACTGAAGGCAGGGTGATTCAGCAATGTCTGCCTGAGAGAAGTCTTAATGCGGCAGTTTTCCAGTGAACACACATAAACCAAAATCAAAAAATACCAGCAATCTGAACTATGTTTTATTGATATGAAGAGATGATTATCATTAAACAAACACTGAACTAAAAACAGGAAGGCATTACACATACCAATAAGGGTCTGAATAGAAAGCATATATTACTAAGAGATGGAGCCTGAGTTGGGTAACAAAATTCTTTTAATACCTAACACTGCACATCTAATGTGTTCTGGCTTTAAGACTGTAGAGGACTTTCTGAATTTAGGCCAAACCAAGACAGTTTTTGACATGGCTTTGACAAAAACAGAGACATTCTTCTTACTGCTAGCTCTCCCAGCAATTACAGGGCTGTAAAATATTAGCAGTTTTACTTAGCCTGTTTTTGATGTAATCTTTCCTCCTGGTATATGCTCAGCAACTAAATCTGATGTTTATTGTGATGCATTTGGAAGAACAACAGATTTCAGTAAGTTACAGGCAGGAACAACCCTAGGAGTCCCTCATCATTCCCACTTTTGCCTCCATTCTTGTATTTGGGGTTTTTGTTGTTGTTGTTTTTAGCAACAAGTTTTATAGGTATCAATCTATAATTTCAGACACTAGCCATATATAATCTTTGAAGTCTGAATTATCAGCCAACCTCCAATAAAGCATAACCTTTACAGATGAGTAACACAAAACATGTTCCTGCTATAATATTCAGCAGAAAAAACACCGCAAGCAAAGCCATGAATGGGAATGTTTTGCAGACATTTGATAACCTTATGATTCTACCTTTTTACATGTAGTTCGGCCTTGCTTCAAACTACATCTGCTTTGAAACAGAGCTGTAACAAAACGAGATTCTCTTGCTCTGTTTTCCCCCTTTCACCTTCCCATGCCTCTCTGCATGCACATTCCTCAGAAGAGCAGAGCAATCCCTCAGGTCTAGAACTGTCCCTGAACCACAGCTAATTCCAGACATGTCCCCCTCCCTCCTTCCCCTGCCTTCCCTGCTCTGTAGGCCGAGGCGGTGCGGAAGGGCGGCCACGCGTTGTGCGCGTAGCAGACATGCTCAGGAATGCAGAGCCAGAAGCGACAGTTCACCAGCCCACATTACCTGCACCACACAGCAGCTTCTCAGTGATCTCACACTTATGCAAACCAGGGCCCAGTGTCCTAACAGACCAAGATAGAGGAACTCTCAGAAATGCTTATGCCCTAGTGATGGTTGGTACTGCTCCAGGTTTCACAATAACGACACCACTCCGCATCACAGAATCACACAGAATCAGAGAATGCTTAAGGTTGGAAGGAACTTCTAGAGTTCACCTAGTCCAACCCCCTGGCACACGCAGGGACACCTGGGGCACATGGCACAAAGTGGCATCCAGGCGTGTTTTGAAGATCTCCAGAGAAGGAGACTCCACAACCTCTCTGGGCAGCCTGTTCCAGGCCTCTGTCACCCTCACAGTAAAGAAGTTCTTCCTCATATGGAGGTGGAACTTCCTGTATTTTAACTTACACCCATTACCCCTCGTCCTGTCACCAGCGACCACGGGGAAGAGCCTGGCCCCATGCTCCCTACAATCACCCCTCAGGTACTTGAACATGTTGATCAAATCTCCTCTCAGCCTTCTCTTCTCCAGACTAAACAGGCCCAGCTCGCTTAGTCTGTCCTCATATGGCAAATGCTCCAGTCACGACGCCACCATCGCAGCAGAGGACAGGGGCTGGCGGAGGCATAGGCCTCAATGCCACAAAGCCCTGGACTGTCCCTCACAGACCTGATCTCACTCGAGAGCCAGCGTCTTGCTGTACAGCAGAGGCTGAAACGTAGCTTAGGGCTACCAGATACTGAAGTTTCTCACCCCTTCCCATGAAATGGGATCCTCCCCCAGACAGCCTCTTGTTTCCCAATTGGTTTACTGAGACCAAAACGTCTTTTCCAGCACATCAGCACTGTGGATTGGCAATTTGATGATGAAAGGGAGGGGTGTCACTAGCCAACAGACTGAGCAAAGGAAAAGGAAGCTAGAACATGGTCTGATCCCAAGCGTGGGAGCACAGACACAAGGAAAACCACAGAAACTCTGTGAAAAGGGAGAGGGTGAGGAAGAAGACATAGGTGGTGCAGAGCACAGTGGCACTAAACCATGCGGGCAGAACATGGCAGCACAGCATCACTATTAGTGCCTAATGATTCTGGTATCTGCTTTTACTGTCTGCTCTTAGAGTAAGGAGATGACTCTGGCAGGACCATTCTTTCCATCATTGCTACACAGCTATGGATCCTCTCGTCTACTGTCTGGCTCAGACAGCTGAGTAACCGAGTAACTACAACTCAGGCTGTCTCTCCTCAGATAGCAACTCAGCTCCTTCTTTCTCTGAGCAATCGATTTTTCTGAAGAGAGCAAATCACATTCAGTTATATAGTATATGTTGGAAAATGTCATGTATCTATGAATTTAGTGAGCTTACTGAATATAACAAGCTTCTGTTGGGCATAAGAAATCCATAAATTGCATAAACAAATCTGCTACATATTCTACAGGACACTAGTGCAAGTGCTAACAAAATTTTAGAACAACATGCTTGAGAAAAGAGTTTACAAACAGGCAGGAGGACATGGCAAGCTCTTTACAACATAGTCAGCTTCTACTTCCCTGTAGAGAAAATCCTTCGAGTTGTCTCAAAATTAACATTTCTAGCAGTGCTATAAAATATAGCAGGACATGGACTATTGTCTATGGGTGGATGAGCAGCTGGACTCCCACTGTTTGAACAGCATGATAATCAATACCAGCATCTGCTCAGTGAAACCTGTACAGATTCAGAACATCTTTATTAATTGGTAAAAAGGTGAAAAAGGTAGAAAAAAATTTATTGTCACTAAAAGAATATTACTAATTCAGTGTAAGGGAGAATTCAGCAAGCTGTAGGCCTAGATGAATACAGCTTACAATGTTGAAAGAAATATTATATTTTCCAAACTGGAGAACTAATAGAAAGTTTAGAGACTTTTTCTTCTGCAAATATATCAGGCATACTTTTCCTACAATTATCTTTGGCTTAAGAGAGAATTCCTGTACACCTCTGTGCCTGAGGCACCCTTACACACCAAAATCACAGACAGATTAATAAGCCTTGTAAGTGGATTTATCTGAATCCCATTTATATTGACTGAATTAGAAGATCATGCTGCTACAATCCCATTTTTTGTTGCCTGTGTTTAAGTGGCTTTCAATGCAAGCCCTTATTTAATATAGCTTATATTCATGAAGTTTAAGAAACTAAAGTACCCCTTTTCTGCTTAGGATCAAGGCATAGATTAATAGCTATTGAGCTTTCTTAGTTTTGAACCTCTCTGGTTGCACAAACCACATTCAAAGAAAAAAAGAGGTACAACATCTACATAAGAAGTATGACACAAGATGTTGCTGATACCAGACTAATCTGAAGACTAAATTTCTCTTTTAATCCTGTACTTAATGTTAGATTACTAACTCAGTGAAGGATTACTCTTGACAGTGCAGAGCAGGAAGTGGCTCTGGTGAGACAACTCATCAATTCCTACCAGAATAGGATTTCATTAAAACAAATATGAAGCTCCTGACCCAGCTACTTCCAAATGCACAAATAGGAATCAAGGTTATTCCGTCTTTCTGATTCATCACTGAGTCCCAGCTACTCCCCATAACTCTGCTCAAATAAGATAGCTAACTTGCATGCTGGTTAGCTTGAGTGTGCTAGTCAGAATCCCACAGTCACAGGCTTCACCCTGCTTCTGCTGGGGAAAATCACAGCCAGTTGAGAGAGGCAGAATAGTCTAATGAGCACCTGGCATCTTTACTTCTATGAATATACTAGTGAGCTTTTAAATTAACTTGAATAGGGATTTTTTGGTGCTTAGGCAGACAGTGTTACTGTCACACTGCACTTACTTACATATTCCACTACCCATTTTCATCACTGATTGACAGTGCATGTGCAAATCAAGAAATTAAAGCCTACATACCAGTAGGAACTACATAACTGGTTTTTTAAAAATCAGACAGATGACAACTAATAAATTGCTAGATATTGTTAGATGGCTATCTTACAAATAACTGTATATATGGTAGTTTATGAAATTATTTCAAATACTGAGGTCAAGATAATCTGTTAACACCAAACCTGGAAAGACTCCAAGTCCTTTGTTCACTTCCAGGCTAAGTATCAGGGGTTCGAGCTGTGATGCTAAAGATTTGTCGGGATGAAAAGTTCAAATCATCTGTAACCTGAAAATTGAAGCCTCCAGACATTGCTCCTGCAGAAGAAAAACATAAATTTATTCTTTTATTTTGCCATTTTTTCATTTAAAATATACAAAAATATATTGCACACATTTTGCTTTTGACCACAGCAAAAGAGAACCAATTATCCTGAAGCCATTTTGTGATCAGTATTTCTGTATCTTAACTAAGAATTAAATAAAATCATAATACAGAGAACAGCATCCCAAGGAAGAACCATCAACTATTGCTCAAACCAAAGGGAAAACATCCCACGGTGTAAACCAGCAGGTTGCCCCTTCTTTCACTGAACCTCGTGAAGCTGAAACCAGCTTAAACTTGGGGAGACACTGACCCAAGTTTTCTCCTCCTTTTTTATCTTAGGAGGGACTTGAGCACTTAAACAGCCATACTTTGGCAGAGATGTAATTTTGGGAGAAAAACAACTAGAACGGGCTTTCACTTCGGTTTAGATTTAGCCTGGGAGCTGAATCACTCCTTTAATTCTTTCCTTTTCTCGCATTCCCCTTCGCTTTTGTAGAAGAGGCTATGCTGTCACAGCTCAAGCTATGTCAGAAGTAACATGAGCTCATAATAATTTTTCTGCTTTAATCTTAGGGCCTGTACATGGTATGGCATAAGCACTAGCAAAATTAGTTCCAGGACACTGAATGAATTCCTGTAAAAATATATTTCAGTGACTTTCTGAGGTGCCCAGTGCTTTATAATTGTTAATTTAGGTAGAAAAAGAGAATGAAAAAATACAACATGAACTGATCCCAACAATTACTGTTGCTCCTCCACTTCATTTGCTACATGAACACCTATCCTAAAATGCGAGGTTTCCATGCACTTTTACATAAAGATCGGCACTCCGTGCTTAACTATAACTGAACATATCAGAAGAATCCATGTTGGTTCTGAGATTATAGTTAAACACTGCCCTAGGGAAGTTGACTAGAGCTAACAGTTTGCCTAGGAAACTATAGTTGACAAATCCCTACAGCAAACAGCTCTAATCTATCAAGCCAATTCTTTTGTATTTTAAAGCTTTTATTTTCTATTTTCTCTTGATAAAAAAAAAATTAAAAGGGCAATGAGGATCCCAGGCTTTGCCTCGAGCTGAGAGGCAAAGTGCTTACTTAGCTTTCCTTGCTTTCTTGGCTAATGAGGAACAATTTTCTGACTAAAATAATCAGAAATTTGTCATTGACACAGTCAGAAACAGAACTAAATCCTTAAATGCTACCTGGGTGCAGCATATAGTACTTCAGAATAACTCACTTTAAAGTCATAACTAAGTGGAAATAATAAAAAAGGGTGCCAGAATGGGTTGCAAGAACTTCACTTGCCTTGGAAAGAGAGTGAGCAGGAGGAGCAGAAGCCAGATTGCGAGGGGCAGGAAATGGGGCTACTCCTTCCTAGGAATAGCCAAAGAAGTTGGCATACACTAAAAGACCCAAGAGGAGGGACACAACAACATTGTACAAACAACCGAGATGAGGGACAGAACAATATCTCTGACAGGGGAAATAACAGTAATGACAGCAAGCAGGCCCCAGGACAAGGCTGTGGACAAGAAGATCAGTATAATTCCAGCAACTGTCCAGAAGAATGAGGAAAGAAAACCCCAGTCTGAGAAAGCAGAAAAAGCGAAATGGTGAGTCCTTTCTGAAGCACCGGCCATGACAGTGAGTGGCAGAGACAGAGTGGCTGCAGGAGCAGCAATATGGGGTGAGCAGTTTTACCTTTCAGTTTTACTGTGCATCCTACATGTTTGCTAACTGAAAAATGAAGCCTATTTCTTTTAATTCTTTTAATATAGATTCATTTCCTAAGGCTGCAGATGTGCCTTTACCCTTTCTGAAGCACTGAGTGGATTCAGTTAAATCTAGACTACCATATTCCTTCCAGCTTTCCATCATGACAAGTTTTACATGTCGAAGTCTCCCTTGGAACCACAATTTAAGGAGCTTGACTCACTTCTGCCATATTTTTGACCTGCCACTTGTGACAGTACAAGGACATCCCCAAGCATAAATACAGTGAACAGAATAGTATTCTGGTAACACAGGTTGTATTTTTTGAACCACATACCACTGTGTACAAATACCAGACGCCCTTCTATTATATGAGCCTGTGTAAAATTAAGGATGCTGTTGTTTGGAGAAGACTTCAGAGCCAAGTGCCCATTGCTAGGCGGAGTAAGGGTGTACATGAGTTCGGACGGTGAGGAGTCCTTGTCGTCTGCACAGAGGTCGTCAACAGTTATTTCTGTGACTGAACCCACCCAGACCTAGGAAAATTAAAGAAAGGAAACTCATGCAAAAGAAAAATGGGGGGGGGAACACCATGAAATAATACTAGCAAAAACATTCAACAACAGTTTGGACTTTAGACAGCAGCAACACAAGTGTTCTATTTGTCAGGCACGCTCCAAGTTCTTACAAACATAACAAAAGTGTATTTTCATAACTGAGTCAAGCAACTCTTTTTCCAACACATCCACATCAGTGTCAATTCATTTCATGCAGTACATTTTTGCATGTATAATTTTAAAGCCTGAGTCTTTAAAGTCTTGTTACTGTTTTGTTCTTTCTTGTATCCCTAGGGCCTTGCAGCACTTCTAAGAAGTATCTGGTAGTAATACCACACGCAAAGGTTAAAAATATACATGATCCTTGACAAAGGAAGCTATACAGCTTCCAAAATCAAAACCCAATAATCACAGATTTTCCCCTAAGTATCAATGCGACTTTTTAATGAAAACTATGGATGAAATACTGGCTTTTTAAACAGTCATTGGGGTTTTTGCCACAATACTTCAACAGAAAAAGGATTCCAGTCCACATTGCACCATAAAAATCTTTGCCACTGAAAACAAGATATTCTAATGAAGTTATACATGTTTTCTAACTAAGAAAACTAGTTTGAAAAAAAAGAGTTGAGCTGTTTTCTTTCACAGACTCTTGTTAACTCTTGTTAACCTTCCATAAGTTGTAGAAACAGTTTATCTTATTAAGCAAAAAATTGAGCTTTTCAACCATGTCATCTTGTATTACTGTACTGCAAAAACAGGCATAAACAAAAAAATAAAATACTGTGTAAGTACTGCACATGCTGAGGTCCTCTGTGACCTGTAACATGATCTTCTAAGAATGGAGATACATGAACTGAAAAGGGAAGTAGCCACTCAGAATACTGCAAATGCTGTACAAACAGCTCATTTTCAACATCTAGGATCAAGCCCTCCTTGAAGAACACCACGAAACCTCTCTGTTCCATCTCTATGATGTAGCATTACATTAATTTTGCATTTGCCTAACACTTTCAGCATGGTCCCCAGAAAGGTGTGTGACCCTGCCCGCTAGGAAAACATGGAGCGGTTCCGCTCACAGCTGTCGGCTTGCCTCTCGCTCCCTTTGTGTTACATATCCCATTACATGCTTTATATACTCGGCCATTTTAATAAGGGAATGATTTAAAGGGGAAAAAAAAAACAACCAATGCCCAATGTTTGCGTTTTGTTTTGAAAAAGAAAATGAATAAAATTCTAGTTATAGGAAACTACTACCCTCTTGTGGCAACAAAAGGGTACAGTCATTCAGAGCAGCATTCTCAGATAATTAAAAACCATACATAAATAGAAAAAGTAAGGGCAGGACACTAATTTTCTTTAAAAATCAGATTTCTTCCCCCCCCCAAACCTCCCAAAAAAACCTCTCTATAAAACACACCAAAACAGAACTACAGGAAATAAACTGTAAAGTGTTGTATAAATTTACTTACTCAATATATTCCTCCCTCAAGCACTATTTTTTCTAATGGAAATGCTTTGACTTAAATGCAAGGATTCTTAGGATACATTACAGAGACTCGCTGTTCAGTAAAACTTTCTACATTTCATGTGTTACACTAACGTAAATGCTTGAGCATGTTAAAAAAAAAAAAAAAACTCTTACATTTGACCTGAAATCCTGTGACAAAGCCCAGTTAACTTCCATATATCCTTGCCAAGATAACCAGCCATGAACCACAGATCTTCAAGGGAACCTAGTTCTCAATACCAAGTGGCATGTAGGTACTTATCTATTCTTTTGAACTCTTTATAGATTAAAAGCTGCAAAAACTCTGAGATGCTAAACTTCAGGCAGCTCAAATAGCCCTACTGAAGAGGAGTGTGCACAAAATAAAGACATGCAGGCATTGGAAAATACAGAACTGGATCTCATCTAAAAAATAAACAAAATCCAAGGCATAAAATTGAAGCATTCGCTTTTTTAAAATAAGGCGTTCTGAATAAGACATCTCTACCTGTACCTGTACAGGTAGGCATACCTGTAGATATTGATATTGTAGATATTCTCAGTTTTCACAGAATTGGTCCCTGATTTTACACTTTTGTATATTTTGTACATTTCTGACCTTTCAAAAGATAAGGTCTAAAAGAGCTACTGCATTTTTAAAAGCAACATGGCAGTTTATTACTCAGCTTTCACTACTGGCCGTATCCTTGAGGAGGACAAACTGCTTGGTTAGAACATGAATGTCAGCACGTATCATCCTACACAGGATTGCTCATCTCAGCATCTAGCAGGACCATTTGTTCCGACGTATGAGAGATGTGCAAGGTTGCTCTGAAGAAGGATCATCTTGATGCACACCTCCCAGTACATAACTTGAATACACACACTCGCTCTGAACACACACATGCACGCACACACTATACAGCTTGACTCCTAGCTTTGTTTCTGGACTCACCTGAATCCTACTTACCTGTGAATTTTAGTACCCACTCATTGCAAAAACAAGGCCTATTTCCCTCGGCAGCTATTCCTGAGCAGGAAAACCACAGCAAACGCATCACCTGGCTGTGGGTAGGTGGACTGCATGCCCTGCGCTGGGGACCAGCTTTGCTGGGTTAAGCTGCGTTATCCTCATTCTTGGGAAGTCTGCGCTTCACAGCTAGAACTGTGCAGAACTCAGCACTGCACTGCACAGCTTTGGGTCCATGAACTGACTGTGATTCAAAGCCAGGCACACACCAGAAAGGAGGCAAAAAAATCCAACAGGCCATGTGTCTTCTCATCTGCTACGAGATGATCATCACTGCCCACTGTGCTGCTGTCTATTGGTACCACTGTAATTATCTGCAGCAGGTTTTACTCTGTAACACAAACTGGCTTCACGGAGAGTCTGCCCTTCTGTCAGCAGCCTCTGCATGGGGCAGAGATCTAAGAGCTACAGTGCCCTGTGCTGTAGGAATCTGCAGATTACCACAGGTCGCTGCCATGGAACAGGCTGCCCAGAGAGGCTGTGGAGGCTCCTTCTCTGGAGATCTTCAAACCCCGCCTGGATGCCACCCTGTGCCATGTGCTCTAGGTGTCCCTGCTGGAGCAGGGGTTGGACTAGATGATCTCTAGAGGTCCCTTCCAACCTCAACCATTCTGCGACTCTGTGATTACCATGAAGTTGCACACCGCTGCCAGCCTCACGGCTTAGAAATTCTCAAGTGAAAAGCCTATATACACAACACAAGGCTATGATCATCACTACAGCAATACGTTTGATGCGCCACCAAGTTGTAAACTGCACCATGCAGCACTAGGGACGATGCAGCCTCCCAGTATCCCGATTATCTTCTTTTGAATATCTACTCCTACTCTTATCTGGCTAGATGCCTCACAGCTGGTTTACTGCAACCACAGGTTTATCAGCCGACCTGCACCACTTCATTCTGCTTTTCACAGTCACACAGTTGCTGTCACATCTCAGAGTGAAAGGCTTTTCAGGCAGAGACTTTTTGGTTTATGTGGGTACAGTGTCCAGAATAAATTTGTTCTGGTTGCTGTGTGCTACTAGAACACAAATGATCATCCAAAACCAAAGGGTTTTGTGTTTTGTGTTTTTGTGTTTTGACACAGCACAGGAAATCAGAAAAAGTGTCCGGAGTGACACCACAGGAAGAGATGTGAGAAGAAACCAAGCCTGACTTTTTACAATACTGGAAGATTACAAAATAGCTGTGATTATTGGGTAGGGTGTTAATAAAATAAATAATAAAATAATAATATATTATTTATAAAAAATAATAAAATAAAATGTCTTTAGGAATCTGGAGGAAAGGGGAAAGTTAACCAAAGTTAGAATAACAGTTTCTATATCCAAGTATCCACAGCCACAAGCCCAATGTCAATCTAAAAGACTTCACATGTATCTTCAAGATTAAAAGAAAGCTCAAACAGCTCTCTAAGTAAACTTACAGCCTGCTTTACATTACAATAGCAGAAAACATTCTTTATAATGGCTAGAATATGCCTGAATACAAAGTACCTTTATACTTAACAATACACTTAACAATAATTTATTTAAATATTAGGACCACCTTTTACTATATTGAGCACCTCACCAGATATACACGTAATATTCATTAATGACAGAAATTAAATGATATCACATTTAAAATCAATATTTTAAGATGATGATGAACATACCTGAAGAATTTTGTTAACTTTTATAACAGGAACTTCATCATTTACTGCAATAACAGTTACAAATAAAGTCTGGGGCAAACTTTGTTTCCAAAGTTCTGTGTAATTTACTATAACAGTAAAATTGTCTGTCGGTTCCTCACTGTCATCATGCACATAGTAGATCAATTCTTCTTCAACCTGAAAAATAGAATGACCTGAATGTAATAGTTGACATTCAAAAAAAGGAAAAAAAAAGAAGCATTCATATCTAGGAGATTTCTTGACTCAACCTTTCAGTTTTTATGACCTTTAAGAATTTATTTACACTCATATCTGTCCCTCTATCTCCCTTCTGTCTCAACAGCAAATTCTACAGCTCGCCTGTGCCATCTATGCACTCCCCCCCTCCACCTAAAAGGAAAATGAAAAATTAAATCCCACTATATTTACCACAATATTTCTTGGAAACTAAACGGAGAATGATGAGTACTTCTGGATGGTGATATATATAGTTTTGTTTCTTGGATTGAAAATTATCTTACTATACGCATATAGTCTCTCTCTGAGCAAACACAAGACCTAAAAGTGAAGTTTCTTCCAATTCCTTGTTCAGTTCATATCATTTTATCCAGGTGGGTCTTTCAAAATAAACCCAGAGCCTTCCTTACGTTTCCAGAGCACCTAGCGTGACAACTCTGCCTGAGTGCACGTGGCCTCTCAGCCTACTGTGACTATGGCACGCTATTCTATGTGACCAGTGTGAACCGGGAAGCACAGCTGGCTGTAACAACCAACCACTCTGCCCACCCCAAGTGCCTGACAGCAAATGCTGCAAGGTCTCTGGTCAAAATAAAGCTCAAACTCGCGCATTTTACCACATCCCATCACCTCCTCACACTGCAAATAAAAACAAGCATTTAGCAATACAGGATTATTATTTAGCACTTAGCAAAAAAGGAACTCATCATGACTGCAGTAAAGCGGACACCTTACCTGTTTTCTGGTAAATTTGGTTAACTTTACTCCAGGAACGCGAGTGTTTTCAACATATCCATGCTTTGGCTGCTCAACTAAAATAACATCACAGCTGAGTCCTGCAAAGTGTCTACTAGAAATTTTTAGATAATCTTCCAGCAGGGCTTTCGAACCCCCTTCCAGTACTGTGAAGTTCTGCACTTCCAGTGGAATCACTCCAGGGATGATGTCTACAGAGATTCCAATTCCACTCACTGCTCGGACACCATTGGTCACATCCACAGAAAAATGATCACTTAGTTGGTCAGAAACTGTCTGCACGTATTGAACGTTACCCTCATCAATATCTTGCTGTGTGAATGTCAAAATTGGCTTTTGGTCAGAGCCAGCAGAGTTTTTTTCTGATGAAAACTTCCGAATGTATCCATGTTCTGGAAATTCTCTTACTGTGAACACAATCTCAGATGGAGAACTGTTTTCATGAACAACCTTAAAATAAAAAGCATACCACAAAATTGTTTAAACAAAAGGAAGAGAAGGTCTTTTAATGCTCTCCTGTTTTGTTTTTCCCACTTTTAAGGCTGAGATTGCCTACCTACTTACCTGGCATTTCTTCTTTGGGTCACACGGAATTATATAATGTAGTTATAAGCAGACATGTTAAATAACATAGCATGAGAGCGTTTTGTAACTGCAAGATCTGAATAGCAACATGCTGTGGCATTAATGATCACCTAAGACTCGCAGATGCGTTCCTAAAGGAAACATTTCCTAGTCTGCAATGTGTTGCACAAGCTCCCTCATGGTGGTTATTGTAAAACGAGACATGAAAAAATATAGAAAAGGGCCAATCCAACAGAAACAACATATTGTTTGCGAGTTTTGATTGTTATCATGCTTGATGTGTTTAAAATTTTGAATCCAATCCTCAAATAAGTGTTACCTGGGCTAGCTCCAAAGGGGAGGAAATGTAACCCTCAGCATTTACCACCAGCTCAACTAACAATGAAACATGAACATCAATATGTACAATTGCCATGACTAAAATACATGAGTGCAACTTCTCCAAATCTTAACTTCCTCAAGAACCAGTCTAAGCCTTTGGTCAGCCTTTCTTTCTTTAATACAGCTGTTTCTCCTTCCTAGCACTGGAAGCTTGCTCGCATCAGTGTCTCTCCAGAATTCAGCATCTAGCACACAGACAGGCTAGCCGGGGGAGCAGGGAGAAAGAGTCAGAGAAGAACAGTTCTGTGGAATTGAGAGATTAATGAATCTGCTGTGACTGAGTAAGTATAGAGAAGATACAGCATGGTACAATAAGATCTTGGGGAAACAGACAACATCATTAACTTACCTGCAGTTTTCCTGTACTGATTTTAACTCGTTTTCCTTCTTCAACTACAAGATTGTTACTGTTCACAATCCTTGGTGGTTCCTGATGACTTTCCAAATACATGCGAATATGCACTCCAGCATCCAGATGGGTATCTTTAGCATGGACTGTGAAGTTAAATGTGTCAGTAAGGTTGTTGCTGCCATCATGCCTGTAGACCACATGGCCCTCTCTCAGATCAAGCTGAGTAAAGGAATCCATCTGTAGATCATTTACATATATCCTTCCATATTTTGGGACAGCGAGGATCTCATATTTAATCTCATGATCACTTCTAACATCTTGGTTTGTAACAGCACTAAGGTTAGCTGTTGTAATAGTTTCCTCTCTTCCTTTTTGAACCAACAAGCCTGTATTATTTGCCAGCCTAACATAAGGATCTGTGGCACTGACTTCTAGCAGCGAGGATGCATAGTGTTTGCCATCAGTCACAAAAAGAACAAAATGTCCTACGTCTGCGACACGGTGTAGAAACAGGACTTGCTTTTGTTCCAGGGCCTCTTGTGTGAATTGATAGAGTTTGTGAAATGTATCATTGGTTAGCACCAAATCTCCATTGGGAATGCCACGTCTTGTATACAGCAACTGTCCATCATCAAAATCGGAATCAGGATCATGATAGCAAAGATCTGCCAAAGTTAACAATCGCTGCCCATTCTTCACTATGTCAAATACCTTATCTATTACACGTACTGGTTTCTCATCATTTTTCAGCTGGACAGAAATATTGAAGCTAATTTCTACTGACAAAGTTTCTGCATCAGAGTTTATCCATTCCCCTGACTCTTCACTGGAAGCTCTGACAAGAAATTCATCAAACACTGTCTCAGAGTCATCATGCACATACATAAGGCGCGTATCAATTATATCTTTATTAGTGAAAGTGCTGATATTATCACTACTCTCAAATGAACCTGAAAAATTCATGAGTTTTAATCTCCCATGCTGAGGAAACTTTATAACTTTATATTGGAAAGTTTTATTACCCAGTGTTTGCACAAACAATTTTGTGCTTGTTATGAATTCTCCTTCACCTTCAGTAACAGTCAAGCCATTGTTAGTCACAATAACACTTCCAAAATCCGATTTGATGTTGATGATGAATTCATAAAAATTTGATTCCAGATATTTAGTAGAAATGAGGAATCTAAATGAATCCTGGATGTCTTCATGATGTCTGCTAATTAATTCATATGCCACTTTTTGATCAGCAATGTCTTTCTGGCTAAAAGCAGAATCTTTTTTCAAAGGTTGATCATTAAGAAGTATTTGTCCTTTCTTTGGTAGGGACAGTAATTTAAAATAAAGCTCATCTTCAAGTATGTCTAGATCCACAAGTGCAGCATAAAGATTATCTGAATTCAAGTATTTCTTTCTTGATTTTTCAATTTCTAGAGGAGTGTGTTTCAATAAACTGTACCTTAACCAGCTCACTTTGACTGGAAACACATACTCTTCACTGATTCTGCTTCCTATGCTAATCTTGAATTTAAATTGTTCAGTAACATTTTCTGGTTGAATTTCTTTAAAAGTGCTACAGTATCTCACACGGTTGCGCTGAACAGAGCGCTGAGAAAAAGAGCTGACCTGCTTCCATTTCCCTCTTGAAAGCTGCCTTTGGACTTCCCCAAACTGGGGCGGTTCAGTGATCTCGTACCGTATCTCCAGCTCCTGCAGGATGGCATTTGTTTCAACCGCTAAATGCCTGGGTGTGATCAGAGCTGCAGCACCTTGGAGTAATTTTATTCCCGAGTTGGTGACTATTTTGTAATCCAAAGGAACTGCCATGACACGTAATACAACAGTATTGCTCACTTTCTCGCCATCACTTGCCCTCAGAACAATCCTTGAGTTTTTGACCCCTGTGTGGACAAAGAAAATATCACCTTTTCTTAAGTCCTCGTTAGAAAAAGTAGTGAGAGCATTTCCAGGATGCTCGGAATGTTCTAAAAACCCTGCACCTGCATTCAGGTTTCCGAGCACTGAAAGACTGAGACTTGCAGAATCCGTATCCCTATCTAGAACTTTTATTATATCACCAGTCAAACGTTTCTTTGAGTTCTCCAACAGAATTAGTAAGTTCCCCTCAGGAAGTGTGATCTCAGGAGCATCATTTACTGGAATTACAATAATACTAAAGACATGCTGCTTGTTATCTTGCAAATATGGAAGCACAACCTCTTCACTGCTGTTAGAAATGGAGAAAGTAAAATAATCATAAGTATTCTCAGAGCCATCATGGACATAAAGAATCTTTCCTTGCCACAAATCCTGCATTGTGAATGACTTCACCTTCTGCGCTGGTTCAGTATCTAACTTCAAGTCCCCATGACTGGGTGGTTCCTTTATTTCAAAAAGGATTTGTGATTGATGAATCCCTGAATTTTGAAAGTCTAAGCCGACTTTAATATGTTTAGATTCGAGTGAAGCTTGCCCACCCTCTAGCACAGTCAAGTTATTTAGAACTAAAAGGTGGCTTTTATCTTCCTTGCTCAGGGAAAGGGAACTTTCAGGGGAGATGACAAATGTTGGAGCTGCTTTCACATTAGGATTCCTTACATCTGCCTTTAAAGAAAGGTTTGTATTAAAAGTGTTTTTCATTTCACATCCAGGTGAAATATCCTTTGTCACCAGAACATTCTTCAATGATTTCCTTTCTGAGTTGGCTTTCAGGTCTCTTAAGCAACCTTTGAAGGACCCTCCTCTGGCATACTTCCCAGACACTGAGGCTAGCCCTAACTTAACCACTTCTGATCGTGTGCTGTCATCTACACCACCTACAAAGAGAGGCCCCTTCAGAAGTGGCAGATTGCCATAGGGAGGCAACAATGTTTTCACAGTGTCTTCATCCAATGTCAGCTGCACGTATTCTGCAGTAAATTTCAGTTCAATGTAGTGCCAGTGACTATCATTGACTGACTTGCGAGAGGAAAGCTGTGTTCTACTCTGATGATTTCCAACATAGGCCTTAATTAAGCCATCCTCCATTTCCATTGCAATGAAATCTCCTCTTTGTCCAGAATGATAAAGCAGCAGGCCCCGTGGAGCTGAAGTTTGTAGTGCATACTCCAAGACTCCTTCATCATCAATGTTCCACAGTGGGAAAGAAACATAAGATCTGGAACTGAAGAAACTGATGGGCTCATCTTCACCTGCAAAGAACTCATCACTGCATCCCACCGAAACTTCACGGACATTTTTAAAGCTAGGAGAAGGCCTAAGGGACATCAGAATATGTAGCTGATTAAATGTCAGACCATCAATACATCCTCGGAAATTGGGCAGTGCTCCATCAAGATAAGGAACATCCAGTTTACTAGCACCACCGATGTAGAAACCATGATCAATATTTAGTTCATGCAGAATTCCAGGCATTTTTGCACTAGTTCTGTCATATTTATCAATTACCAGTGTGACATTATCAAGTTCATGGTGTAGTTCAACCAGGTGCCAAGCTAAATCATTCAGCCGAGAACTTTGCTGAGAATGCAGTACTTCTTCCCCAACTCCAAAGTTAATCCTCAACTGCAAGAGACAGAAATTTAACTATGAAAATCCAAAGCTGTATTTCTCAGAACAGTCTATCAACTTCCAGAAAATTCTCTAATAATGATATGACTTACAAAATATATTGTTTTAAATAAAATCACATTAAAATTTTGTATAGGTTTACTTGTCATCCTGAATTTGACCTGATTAGCTGCAGAAGTCTCTCCAGCTCTGCTAGGATCAATAATTTCCAAGAACCCGGGTGGCAATAATGTTCTAGGAAAAACTTACCTCAAAAGCTATTACTTGGATCAAAACAGTTTCTGAGATGCTAACGTCATCAAATCTGAAACTTAGTCCTTAAGAAGCATGAACTAATTAGATTATTTGAATTTTCCATTTTGTTCTAAACAAACTGACAATTTTTACAGACCATAGCTTAAGTAAAAACACTAAACAGTGCAGGCTACACACGCCTTCTTTTCATTTTAGCTATAAGTCACACCTGTACATTTCCTGAGCGTAGTTCCAACAAACAATAATCCTTCTTCCCAGCTGCAAGGAAAAGCAGTCCATGTGGCTTGCTTGTTCGGAAGCGCAACTGCAGGGATGTTCGAGAGAAAGCTTCTGCCATCTTCATCTCCACAAAACTATCCCCATAAAATGATACTAAAATGAGAAAAGGGAAAGCAAGCAGGTGTGTTAGTCACATACATACACACAAATCTTTTTCTTATGTTTATCTAAATAAATATAAAAATACACATAACAGCTCCATTATTTGTTCTAACTCAAATACATATATAAAAATAGATCTCAGATCTAGTAAAATCAGAAGCATCAATCGGCATAATCTCCTTTTCTTCATACTGAAATTCTTCAGCTTGAGAAGATGTTTAAGAGCACAACCCCCATAATTTATTTCTAACAGTTCCCACAAGGAATCCAAAGAATAGGGCAAGCATATTTAATACTTTCCTTTTGATACTTTTACTGTTTCCAACTATTTTTCATGCCACATGTTTTCCTTGTTAAAGCCAGCATTAATTTGTAACTGACAAGTGTCTCTCTTCGGACACATGCACACACCTTCATCTGTGAAACCTCCTGACAGGAGACCCCTAGTCCAAGCTAGCTCTTTTTACCAGCATCTTACAAAATTCATATATAACTTACAGTTCACAATCAGCCTTCGCTTTCTGCTTTTAGAAATTTCACCAAATTCAACAAGTGGCTACACTTCAAATAATCTTTTTCTTGCTTTCTCTAGCCAAAATACAAAGCAATAAAAACTCTGCCTGTTCTCTAGTTCCAAAACCAACAGAAATGAATCTACAAGAAACGAAACTCAGACTCACTTCACAGTTATCAGAAGCAATGCACACAAATCAAAAACAGCATCAAAGCTGAAGGTGACTGAAACAACGGTTTTATGTTTCTTTTTTTTTTTGCTTTTTAACCAGCACTTCTCACTTCAGACTAGATTTAGTGTATTCTCAGCATTATGCAGGGATTGTTAGGAGGATATCCTGGAATCACAATTCCATGCTCACTTCTTGTTGGAAATAATTTAATGCAGATTTCATGTCTGCATGATGAAGTTGTAGGCTTATTTGCCAACAACAAATCTCCACTGCGAAGACAGGAAGAGCCAATTCTGTGTAACAGGAACTCCTCAGACAAAACGCACAGTGCTTGCTGTGGCCTCAGTAATATTCTGCATCAGTGAGTTTTATAGGTTGGCTGTAAAGCACTACTGAAAACAAGGCGGAAAAAAATCACGTTTTCCCCTGTTGTGCTACACCTGCACTTGGGAACCCTGGACATGAAGCAGGGGGTCCTTATTCTGCCACACATTTTATGTACAACTCTCCCAGGACATCCCAACTGCAAAACAACCCATCAAGAAAATGAAGCTTCATATCTTTCTATGAGAAAAAACGTGAAGTTGAAGTGCAAATTTTGTCCTAGCAGGAAAAGTGCAGCAAGCACATCCTATACCAGCTGAGATTGGTGAGGTCCCTGCATTAGGGCTAGGACGTCTGTTTTAGCTGTTTGGACTAAAAAAGTTTCCTAGTGTCCAGCTGAGATTTGGGTCTGTAAGATTTGTCACATGCAGCTCATCCATGAAAATACAAAGGAAACAAAAAACAACCAGAACAGACAGCTCAGGTTAGTATCTGTCTTCCAGAACAGCAGTGTTTTCCCAGATGCCTGTTGACGAAGTGAGGATGTTTCCACAGAAGCTACAGCAAAGGGTGGGAAAGGTGCGACCGCCCTTCCGGAGGGCAGACCTTGCTCCGTGCCCCATGCTCTTCACACCAAGGCTAAGCACCCTCTGGAGGAGCTCACCTACCTTCAGGGAAAGTGGAGCGGAGCAGCCTTGTCCCCTGCTGTGTTGCTCCACTCCCAAAACCCTTTGTGTTCTGGTGCTAACGCATTTATTTTGCCCTACCAAGTCCTTTCAGGGTGCTTCAGCGAGAGGCAGAAGGGTCACGGAATTGCAAAATGAGGGTGAGTTTCCACTAATATAAATTCTTTCAGGATACATTAAAGTATAGCACGAAGCACCATTAAGCACCTTCATGCACGAGATGCTAGGCAAACAGTAAGCGATGGCTTTAGTCCGAACGAGCTTCTGTTGCAACTAAGATGAAATAATTAGGAGCAAAAAAGTGCAAAGGAGCTACAAGCAGGAGAACGGAGAACAGCAGTACCCGTTCTACAGAGCAGGGAGGCACACGAGCACAGTCTTAAAGCTTTCTTTTGTACTGAGCTGCAAAATTATAACAACAGAGGCAATGCATATCATCTATCTTGAAGTGGAGACCAAATTGCTAGCTGTACAACATGCAGGTCCTGGCTTTGTTCTCAAAAGTAGTAGGAAGCTCCAGGATAAAGTGCAATATGAGGTTCTCCCTTTGGGACAGGATTTGAGTGATGGAAGTAAGCATCCAGAACCTATTAATACCAAATATAAATACACTGCTAATATATATATATACACACATTCTCTCTCTCTCTCTATATATATATACACACACACACTATTATATATATAAATATGCCAATATAAATACCACAACAACTGTTGTGGTATAAATAACTTTCAGATGCCTTGGTTATTCTGATTGCAAAGCACAAGTGGAGCTAGCCTAGAAAGGGTAAGAACTTAAGTGAAAAAGAAAACCTAATTCCATGTACCTAATGTAAGAAGCTTTTAAAGCTTTGCGAGAAAAAGGTCAGAAGGAGGGATTAAACAAGACATTTGCAATTATCACACATGTTCACAGTCTGTACTGAGACACATGCTTAAAAACGGCCAACAGAAACAAACCAACAGTTCCCTATTGATTCAGGGCTGCCCCCACTTCTCCGGGTGTTTCCAAGGGCATTTCGCAACGTGGTCCACAAATACGGCTCCTGCTTCCACACTGCAGCTTTAGCTGCCTTTTTTTTTTTGTGTGTGTGTGTGTGTGTCTCTGTGTGTCTGTGTGCGCGCTGAGGTACTTAGCTGAACCGTTTATCAGAACAACGGAGCCAAAGGTCTTCTACAGATTTCAAATACCTATTCACGAATGTTGTGATCTGCACACACATTTCTTCAATTAGTTACATTGCCTCTTTTCACCTGCATGACCAAACCATAGTTGTGACTCTAGGGGGATCTTAAATTCAGAATATATGCAAAATGTTTTAGAGAAACAAATGTTGGGCTGTCACATACACGAGCACCAGTCTTTTAAAAGTGACTAATTCAGATTAAAACCCCTGAAATAAACTTCTCTGATGCTAAGATGCTATGGAGAGGAATTCGGCCAATTAGGCTTTACTACAAGGAAAAAGAGCAAAAACAACGCAGCAGAATGACAGAGAAGACACAGATAACAAAATAAATAAGACATAATGAAAATGTAATGAAAATGATTTTTTAAAAAATAAGAGTTCCATACTGGTACTTCCGCATCCTCCACGCTGGTAGGAGCTGACATTGATAGTGCACAGAGGGCACGGGAAGAAGGAGGTGGAAAACAGGGTTGTCAGCTTTGCTTGGAACCCAGTTAAGGCCAACCCAACGTTTATTCAAAAGTGACTTGTCTGGGTTAACGCATTATTTGTGGCATTTACATTATTTTATGGGCAAACCAGACACTAAGCAACTTTGCAAGCAATCAGCACTCAAAGCGCTCACAGTGATGCACTTCCTCGTGTCGAAGCCACAAGTGCTTCGCACCCCACGGTCCCAGAGAAAAGCCAGTCCTGTGGCCAGGAAAGCCCAAGCCCACGCGCACAGAGGCGACGTCCACCCGCGGCTCCATCCAAGCGCGGGCCGAGGCGCCGGCTGCAAGCGCGCGGGTGGCTC